ATCTCACTAGATGGACTACACAGGAATCAAATTGACTACATCGGTTTGATGCATTTGATGCTAATGAATGGAAGTAAACCAGAAGAGTTGTGGGATGACATCAAGAACATCATCATACAGGAGCAAAGTAGAAGGTCATTAAAAAGATAGGAAAGAAAGAAAAGACCAAAAAGGATGTCAGAAGAGCCTCTGGAACTTGCTCTCCAGTATAGAGAAGCTAAAGCAACTGGAGAAATCAGGAAGTAAAAGAACTGAACAGAAAATGTCAAAGAACAGCTCAAGAAGACAAAGTTAAGTACAGTAGTAAAATGTGCAAAGACCTGGAGTTAGAAAACCAAAATGGAAGGATACACTCAGCATTTCTCAAGCTGAAAGAACTAAAAAAGAAATTCAAGCCGTGACTTGCATTATTGAAGGATTCTAGAGTCCTAGTGTGACGCTGTGGCCTAATGCACTAGATTGCAAAGTGGGTTTGAAATGCAAGGTCAGTGATTCATACTCACCAGTTGCTCCCAGGAAACCCTATACAGGGTCGTTGTGGGTTAGAACTGGCTCAACAGCACTTAATAGCAGTAACAACCACATGGTCAAAATAGTAAATGATGCGGAAAGCGTCAAAACAAGATGGAAGGACCTAAGAGAATGCAGTCACTGAGATGAAAAAAGGTGTGTGATTTGTTGAATGTAAAACTGCTAATCTACTCTGTAGAATTCACTGAATTAAAAATAAAAAGTTTCAAAACAAAAATAAAGGAAGGAATATATAGTCACTGTACCAAAAAGAAATGATTGATAGATGTTCAGCCATTTCAAGACATAGTGTGTGATCAAGAGCTGATGGTACTGAAGGAGGAAGTATAAGCTGAAGGTACTGAAAAAGAACAAAGCTCCAGGAATTGATGGAATGCAAATTGAAATCTTTCAACAAACTGATGCAGCACTAGAGGGGCTCACTCATCTTTGCCAAGACATTTGGAAGACAGCTACCTGGCCAATCAACTGGAAGAGATCCTTATCTGTGCCCATTCCAAAAAGAGGTGACCCAATAGAATGAGAAAATCATCAAATACAATCTTAATATCATATGCAAGTAAAGTTTTACTGATGATAATTCAAAAACAGTTACAAAAGTCCATTGATAGAGAACTGCCAGAAATTCACACCAGATTCAGAGCAGGGCTTAGAATAAGGGATATCATTGTTGACGTCAGATGGCTCTTGGCTGAAAGCTAAGAAAAATGTTTACTTGTGCTTTATTGATTATGCAAAGGCATTGGACTGTGTGGATCATAACAAAGTATGGAAACCTCTGTGAAGAATGAGTATTCCAGAACACTTTACATAGGCCAAGAGGCAGTCATTGGAACAGAACAAGGGGATACTGAATGGTTTAAAATCAGGAAAGCTCTGCATCAGGGTTGTATCCTGTCACCATACTTATTCAATGTGTATGCTGAGCAAACAATCAGAGAAGCTGGATTATATGAAGAAGAATGTGCCATCAGGGTTGGAGAAAGACTCATTAATAACCTGTGATAGGCAAATGATGCAGCCTTGCTTGCTGGAAGTGAAAAGGACTTAAAATACTACTGATGAAGATTAAAGACAACAGCTCTCAGTATGGATTGCACCTCAGTGTAAAGAAAACAAAAATCCTCACCACTGGACTAATAAATAGCATAGTGATGAATGGAGAAAAGATGGAAGCTGTCAAAGATCTTGTTTTGCTTGGAGTCACAATAAACTCTCATGGAAGCAGCAGTCAGGAAATCAAATGATGCACTGCATTAGGCACAAGCCCTTTTCAAAGTGTTAAAGAACTGTCAGTTTGAGGACTAAGGTATGCCTAACCCAAGCCCTAGTATTTTCAATTGCCTCATATGCATGCAAAAGTTGGACAATGAATAAGGAAGACCAGAGAAGAATTGATGCATTTGAGTTATGGTGTTGGCAAAGGATATTAAAAGTGCTGTGGACCGCCAGAAGAACAAACAAATTTGTGTTGGAAGAAGTATAACTAGAATGTTCTTTAGAAGCCAGGATGGTGAGACTTGTCTCCTGTTTGGACATTCTGTCAGGAGTAACTGACCTTGGAAAAGGACATCATGCTTGGTAAAGCAGCAGATCAATGAAAAAGAAGAAGCCTCTCGATGATATGGATTACATGGTGGCTGGCTACAACAACAGGCTCAAACATAGTGAGAATGAACAGGCAGTGTTACATTCTGTTGATAGGAGTCAAAACTGATTCAACATGTGTATTCCTGTAATGGCCTTTTTATAATACATAATGGATTTCTTATTCAAGACACACCCACATGCTAGACCATTAGCTTCATGTATGTCGAATTCCAGAAAAAAACTTTAAGTTTTTGTTCTTACTGAGAATATACACAGCGAAAAGCACACCAATTTAAGTGTGTTACAGTTCAAGGAGCTCTGGTAGCATAGTGGTTACGAATCTGGCTGCGAACCTCAAGTTCCACAGTTTGAAACTACCAGCTGTTCATGGTAGAAAGATGAGGCTTTCTGCTCCTGTAAAGATTTACAGCCTCAGAAACCCTGTACAGGGTTATGAGTTAGAACTGACTCCATGGCACATAACCATTACCACCAACACCACATGTACACTTCAGTGAGTTATGCAACCAGGAGTTGTTTATCCTTCTTCCCCATAAGGTTCCAATCTAATTGTTTGAGTTACTGCTGTCAATTTGATCTTATATTTTGTTATTACTGATAAGTGATGTGAAGTCAGTTCTAACTTATAATGACCCTGTATAGCGTTTCTGAGCAGCTGCTGGTAGGTTTGAACCACTTGCAGTTAACAGTGCAATGCTTATTCTGTAGGGCCATGCCAAGATGCCTGATCATATCTGGATAGATCTTAAAAGAGTACAGTTTCAAGACAGAGATTCATTATTTGGTACACTGAACTATTGTTTTAAGAAGACTTCAGGGAATGTTTTTGGTTTACTGTGTTGTTGTTTTTTTTTTCAACTTTTGTGAATTGAGTGAAGGTTTGCAGACAAGAATACCAGTTTTACATTCAACAAATCCTACACTTTGTTTCATCTAAATGATGGCAGTCCCATTCATTCAGCAAGTTATCCCACGTCCTCCCTGTGGTTTCTGTTTCTTTCTCACCCACGTTCCCATCCCTTCTCAACTTTGTCTTTAGGTAAATGTTGCCCTTTTGGTCTTGAGTAATTGACCAACTCCATAGTGAGCATACCTTACTAGTGTTGTCTTCCCTATATATGTCTATCTACTGGTTGACTGAAAATTGGGTCTTAAGGGTGAGTTCTGTTCCATACCTGAAGGGTGATTCAGGGCTATAGTCTTAGGTTCCTCCAGTCTCCTTCTGACTGGTCAGCCTGGCTTTTTTTGTTTTAAGTAATTTTGCTTTAAGGTTTAAAGATTATCCCAGGGCAATAGTTTCAGGGGTCATCCAGTCTTTAAAACTCCAGATGTCTAGAGTTCGTGTGAATTTGTAATTCTGTTTTGTGTTTTCCCACTTCTGATCAGGATTCTTCTATCAAGTGCTTGATTAAAATGCTCAGTCATGGTAGCTGGCCATCATCCACTTCTTCTGTTCTCATGGCAAAAGAGGCAGTTGTTCATGGAAGCAATTAGCCTCACATTCCATTTCCTTCTATTCCTGACTCTCTTTCCTCCTCTCTTGCTTCAGGTGAATACAGACTAATTGTTGTGTCTTAGATGGTTGCTTGCAAGTTTTGAAGATCCCAGGCACTATGCAAGGAACTAGGAGATCGAACAGAAGCATAAGACACATTATTTAACCAATTCATTGGGATGTCCCATGAAACCATGACCCTAAACCTCCAAACCAGGAGTCCTGGTGTGGCACTGTCAGATAAACACTAGACTATTAACTTCAAGGCCGGTGGTTCAAACCCACCCACCGCTCCTCGGAAACCCTATACAGAGTTGCTATGAGTTGGAAAGCTCAGTGGTACTTAACAAACCTCCAAATCATGGAACTTATGGAATCTTATGAGGTGTTAGTACATAAGCAATCTCAACAGCTACTCTTTGTGTGTGTGTGTGTGAAAATTTTATTGTAAATACATCTATCGTACAACTTTTGCCATTTCAATTTTTTCAAGTGTACAACTCATTGACAGGACTTAGAATAATTAGCTGTGCTAGCCTGCCCTAAATCAGTGTGATTTACAGTCATCGTAAACCCAAACTCAGTACTTTATAGGTAGTGGCCCTCCCTCTCAACCTTGGTAACCACTAAGAAACTTAGTGGTCTTAATACAATTGCCTATTCTTATCTTTTTATATAAGTGAGACCATACAATATTTGTCCTTTTGACTTGTTTCAGTTAGCCTAATGTCTTCAAGCTCCATGTATACTTTTACTGAGTAGTATTCCACTGTACGTATGTACCATATTTTGTTTGTTCTGTTACCTGTAAATGGGCCCTTTCTAGCTTCTTAATGAGTCACATTCTATTTATAATACTGTTAGACTCTCTTTTCAGAATTTTGTTAGAATATGAATTATGCTGTTTTTATGGAAGAACTTAAATGCACATCATGTGTATAAGAATGAAAAATACTTTAAAATTATGAATACATTTGACGAAAAGCTTTAGTAGATTTAATTTAATTTGCATCAGTTGCATTTTTCTCTTGTATCTTACTGTATACTTCTGTGAAAAACTTCATTGCTATAACTCGTCTTGTGAAAACCATTAGTTGCCAAGTTTAAATTTTAGATCAGCTTTTCTTTGCTACTTGACTTTTTCTAAGAAAATTCAAATGAATTTGTATGTAAATAAAAATTGCTTCTATGTGACCTGTAGTTTTAGATTATGCCATAACTTTTTGAAGAGATTATTGAGAATCGATTCAGAAATAATGACAAGAGGGGAAAAAAGTCTCAGTAATAAAGACAGGAGGGGAAAAGTCATGTCATAACATACAAATGGAGATGCTGATGCCAAGTTCATCTATATTTTGTTTAGATGTCCCTGGTAGATTTGGGAAAGAAGCTTTTAGAAGCCGCACGAGCAGGTCAAGATGATGAAGTTCGTATTTTGATGGCAAATGGAGCTCCTTTTACTACAGACTGGGTAAAGAATTAATTTAATGTTGTGGTGGGGTTTTTTCTTCTCATTTTAGAGTTTTTTATTTATAAGATCACTATTACATTTACAAGTGATAACAATTTAAAAATATTTGCTTGTTATTTATAAGTATGCTCTTTTTAAAGGGATGGTTTATATATATATATATATATATAGATAGATAGATGTGTGTATGTGTGTGTGTGTGTGTGTGTGTTGTTGTTGTTGTTGTGAAGTGCCATCGAATCGGTTCCCACCCATAGTGACCCTGTATGGGGTTTCTGAGGAGCAGCTGGTGAGTTTGAACCACCGACCTTGCAGTTCAAACGGCTTTGTAGTCCTGGCGCATTAACCCACAGTGCTACACCAGGACTCTCTCTCTCTAAATTGGACGTTATAAAAATTTCTGTCCACCATAAAGTGGACTATGGAGTACAATGTAGGATAACTGCAAAATGTAGGAGTCTGGGATTTTTTTTTTTAGGCTTTATAAATAGGTGGAGTTTATAATTCAGAAAATAGTAGATAAAGATTAAGGTTAGTTTTATGGGTACTCCTGAAAAGGTGGAAAAAAAGAGTTTGTTATCGATACTCATAAAACCATTGCAAACATGACCAAACAAAAAGGAAAGGGAAAAAGTTCTTGGTAACTATAAAAGGCAACTGTGAGAAAGGCAGAAGGAGCTCTGGTAGCGAATCGGGCTGCCAACTTCAAGGTCAGCAGTTCAAAACTACCAGCTGTTCCATGTGAGAAAGATGAGGCTTTCTCCTCTCGTAAAGATTTACAGCCTCAGAAACCCTGTGCAGGATCTGTGAGTCAGAACTGACTCCACGGTACTTACCAACAACAACATAACTGTTTAGTTGCGGGTTTTTTTTTTTTTTTTATAAAAAAAAAGGTCTTGGAAAGCTAGGAATCTGGATTAACTCTCTCTGTGATAAGAAATAAAAATTCTGGATTTTATTTTGTTTTTTTACCCTTTCTTTTTCTATCAATAAAAATAAAATAATAGCTTTTATTATGAAGGATTTCAACATACAGCACCCTTTGTATATATCACAAATGATCAAATCATGGAAATCTTATTTTCTTTGTTAGGTTTATTACATACTTTCTCTACTCTGTAATTTTAAAAAGCAAATTCTAGGAGCCGTATCATTTCATTCATAAATATTTCAGCATCACTTCTAAACAATTCAAACATTAAAAAAATTTTTTGTTAAATATTTTTAGAAAATCTTAAGTACACTTTGTTGTTATTAAGTGCCATGGAGTCAGTTCTGACTCATAGCAACCCTGTATAGGGTTTCCGAGGAGCACCTGGTGGGTTTCAACTGTCGACCTTGTAGTTAACAGTCCAGCGCTGATTGGGCCTGTCAGCATGAATAACTAAGTGAAGGCAGGAACCCAAAGGCAGTTTACTGAGAGGATTTGCTGAATTAATAAATAGATTTGTTAGTTGGTTTTTCCATCTCTCTAACATGATGTACTGAAGAAAAGCCTTGAGACCGCTCATGCAGAGAAGTCTGATAGGAGATCTCTCTCTATGGTTCTAGAATTCCAAAGAACTGTAACTTTAGTATAAGGGTAAGCCAGAAGTACCCTTTCCCTCTTCTTACATGCGCCTGCTTCTGCCCCTAGGGAACTACAAGAAAAATTACCTGGTTTGAACTAAATAAAGCACTGAATGGAAAGAGGAAGTGGAAAGAGGAAATAGGGATGAGAATTTGGAATTACAAGTCATCCCTTGCACACACTTACAGCCTGAACTCATAATTACCTGTGTACTTTGAAAAACTATAAGCTGAGAAACTGATTTAGGAAAAGTTAGTACCCCAAGTTCCTGGTGGAAGCAAATGCATATTCCCTTTGTAGGATCCTAGTTTCATCCCAGGCTTCATATCCACATATTAAGTTCTAAGGAAAACAGTCAAAAATAAACAAACAAGGACACAAGACAACTTCAACAACAATTTATGGAGAAAATCTAAACAACAGAAGGAGATCGATGGGAACTTTAGATACGATTTTAATAGCAGACTAGAAACAACTAGAGAGAAAATGATTAAACTGAAAGATATGAAAAAATGATTCAGAATGCAGCACAGAAAAAAATGTAAAAGGGAAGTTGAGTCATGAAGGGTAGTATGAGAAAGTCTAATATAAATCTAATCAAAGATCTAGAAAGAGAGTGAGAATAGAGATGAATTGACAAAAAGAAATAATGGCCAAGAATCTTCCAGAATTCATTAAAGATGACCCCATAGAATCAAGTAGCCTAACAATCTCAAACATGATCAATAAAAAATCTTTATGTATACACATCATAACGATAAAAGAATCTTTCTTAGGAAGGACTAGTATCCAGAACATAAAGAATTACCTTGGGTCACTAATAAAAAGCCAAACAAGATAATAGAAGAGTGGACAAAGGACTTGTTTTATAGTGCTTTACCAAAGAGAAAATTTGAATGATTGGTGTAAACATGAAAAGATACTCAACTATATTAATAATAAGGCAAATGCAATATAAATGGGAATTTTCAGATGCTTTTGGTGGAAGTGTGAATTGGTATATAATTACTTTGAAGGATAGTTTGAAAGTACCTAGTACGTTTGGACATACTCATATACTATGATCTAGCAATTGAACTAAATATTTTCCCAAGAGAAACTCTTTATTTATGGGGTTTCTGAGGAGTGGCTGGTGAATTTGAACTGCCGACCTTGCAGTTCAAACTGACCTTGTGGTCTAGGTCAACAACCCACAGTGCCACACCAGGACTCCATGAATTACTGTAGAGCAGAGAAAATTAATTAGCTTTACTTGCATTAATCAATGTAGATGAATCTCATAATATTAGATAAAAGGTGAGTGAGTCACAGAGAAAATGCATTTGGTACGATCCTATTTAAATAAAGGTCAGAACAGGTAAATCTAAAGTATATTAATTAGGGAAGCATAAGTATTTAAGAAAATAAACTCAAGGGATGATTATGACAAAGTTTAGGAAAGTCGTTACTTGTTGGGAGTGGCATGTGGCACAATTTTTCATTTCTTGACAACGTTGTATTTTCAGGCCTGGGTGGTGGCTGCCTGATGGTGGTAGCAAATTCCATTTCCTATGTGAAGTACCTTTAGTTCTTTCGAACATCAATTACTTGGTAATTAGAGTTGTAGGGACTTTCTATATGTATAAATATGAGGAGGCTTCAGAAAATTTGTGGAGTAATGGAATTGAAAGATAGTAGAATTTTCCACAAACTTTTTGAAGCCCCTGCGCCTTTACATATTGTTATTGTTGTCAGGTGCCATCGAGTTGGGATCAACTCATAGCGACTCCATGCACAGCAGAACGAAACGATGTCTGATCCTGGGCCAACTTCACTACCGCTGCCACACTTGATGCCATCAGTGATGCCACCTGACTGATCCATCTCGTTGGGAGTCTTCCTCTCTTTCTCTGACCCTCCATCTTATCCAGCATGACATCCTTCTCTAGCGACTGTTCCCTCCTGACAATATGTCCAAAGTATGAGAGA